TGATTAATTAAAATTTTGAGTAATCAATTAATCGCACAGCCCTAGTAGAAACAATATGAACAAAAATTATTTGAAGCAAGCGGACGTTCAGATTTTCAATTTTATTACAAGCGGTAATCCTATAGTTTTCCGAAAAAAATTTTATGCGACTTGCAAGAGTAACCAAAACTAGCTTTTGTATTAAAATTTTGACAAATAAATTAAAAGTTACGACTTTTTTTACATGTAAAGTTAATTTTGCGTCCGAACGCTTGAAAAAAGCCCAATTTGTAATTCAACTTTAGACTGTTCCTAATAGATTTTTACGTTGTTTTTGTTGTAAGACTTACGGAACATAAGCTATACTAAATTTGTGTATAGAGTTCCAATTTTTTAATCGTGTACCAAAATTATGATGGCTTTCTAGAAAGTATGATTTCGCCAAAAAAAAAAAAATTTTTTAAAGTGTAGTTGGAAAGACGCAAATATCTTGAAATTTAATGGACCAATTAGTCCAATATTTTGGTGGATGAAAGAAAAAATGTGTAGTTAACGATTGGCATCTATAAACTTTGTCCAGGAAAATTCAAATTTTTTTGCTCTTGGTTGACACTTTCCAGGAAATACCCTAAAGCCTAAAAAAATATGTTAAACAGATGAGTGAAAATTAATAGGACTACTTACCTGTTCATACTGCCAAGCCGAAAGATAGGCCAGGAAAAAAATAGACACATTCCATAGGCTTAATACTTTCGATTGGTGTATAGTTTTAATAATTTAACAAATGAGTATGACATATTTAATTAAAAATATCCTGGTTAGGATTTTTTCAGCCAATCCACTCGCGAAATATGTATTCATTAATTCGTTAAATATCATACAAAATATATTTCATACATTAAACAGACGGGTGAAGGTCGTGCCTTTGTCGGATCTTGGACTAAAATACATATTGCTAGCTTAGGGTGAAAAATTGCCAAGTCCCAATTTACAGGAAAGGAAAAAAATAACGATTTTCTTCAAGTATTTCGCAAAACTTTGAATACAACAATTTGCCTGTTTAAAGCAAAGCAAAACTCCATACGAATCTGAAGAGGGATTGTATCTTTATTAAAATATTTCGCACTATTTTGGCCTTATCGAATTTTCGGAGCTTTTCTTGGACTTAGTAAATTTTCCTCCCATTGAATGTAAACGAGAAAATATAAAACAAGGACCTTTACGCTTTTCGAAACCATTCACTTTTAATTTCTCTAGCCTCCTTTATCAAAATATGACTTCATAAAAAGTGGGCCTAGCAACTTTTCACTCTAAGCTAGCGATATATGTATCTACTTGATACTCCTACTTTGCATTCCATATAACTTATTCCTTTTAATTCTTGTATTCTCTTTTGCATATTGAAGCGTTCCTATCCACGTGTGCATCGTTCCACTGCGAACAGTAGCGAAACAGGAAAGGATAAAAAGACCAAAGCAAAGTTATAATAGCAACTAATCAAGTGGCGATTGCAATACATAAAGCGCAACCATGTCTAGCCTCCCACGTCGCATAATAAAGGAAACTCAACGACTGATGCAAGAGCCTGTGCCAGGTATCAATGCCATTCCTGACGAGAACAACGCACGCTACTTTCATGTCATCGTAACCGGTCCAAATGATTCGCCATTCGAAGGGGGCGTCTTTAAACTTGAATTGTTCTTGCCCGAAGACTATCCTATGTCAGCACCCAAAGTGCGTTTCATAACCAAAATCTACCACCCGAATATCGACCGATTAGGACGCATTTGCTTGGATGTACTGAAGGACAAATGGAGTCCAGCATTACAAATTCGTACTATTTTACTATCAATTCAGGCGCTCTTGAGTGCACCTAATCCAGATGATCCACTAGCCAACGATGTTGCCGAGTTGTGGAAGGTGAACGAGGCTGAGGCCATCAGAAATGCACGTGAATGGACCCAGAAATATGCCGTCGAAGACTGAAGTGCAAACGTGTATGTAGCGGAAGGCCAACGATGAGCGTGGAGGTGAAGCTGCCGGCGGTGGCGGTGGGGTTGAAAAGATGAGAGGACACGTGACAGCAACGGCTTGTGGTTAGTTGAAGGGCGGGGGAGTTGTAATGCGCGTGGAAATCATAATGGAATTATTTAATAGCAATTAAATAGAGTAAATATGCATAAACAGCTGACGGCATGAGCAGAAAAACTATTTTCCGGCACGCTATTGAAGATTTTGTTTTTTTTAATGATATACATATTTAAAAAATGCTGTCGACTTAATGATTTTAAACTTCGTAATACGCAAATAAACACTACAAAAAGCAAGTTAAAAAAAGAAAATAATAATAACAAAAAAATGCAATAAAAAATTATAATTAATCGGAAGAAATAGCAAAAACTACGTGCATACGTAAAACAAAAACAATATATATATCTACTCTGATACACACTTTAATACAAGCTAAATGATACGATAATAGTCTAAATAGAATTAATAAACACAACTTGCAAAATCACTTGTAAGAAGATGCAACAACAACAATACTTATGCGATATTTGATTTCAACTTTTCTATACATACATAGTAGTTACTGGTCTACTTTCGGCAGCCAGCAAGCTGATGAGCAAAGCGCGCGAAATGCAACATAGGAAAAAGAGCCGACCAAGCAGAATGCCGGTTGCTGCTTGTTGGCTTCTGCTGGTTACTTGTAGTCTACGCCACGTCGAAGAAGTGTTGCACGTTTTCTGCGCTCCATGGCTGTCTTAGTGTGCTATGACTCTACCAATAATTCATTTAGCAGCCTTTTGCTATTTTCTTTCCTTTTTTATGTACCGTATTCTAGTTTCTTGGTCTTGGCCATCACCTCTCATGTATGTACGCCGCATGTAAACGTTGTAGCCATTCTGCATTATGGATGTTGCTATTAATATATTATTAAAGGAACAATGGAAAAATATAAATCATTTATAGTTACACTTCAAATACACTCTGATGTTAATTTTAATTATGTATGTTTGCTTGTATGTTTCTTTATTATTTTCACTATGTAATTATTAGAATTATTAAAACAAGAAGAAAAAAGCAAATAAAATAAAAAGTATATTTAAACTTGTGCGGCATTTCATGGACTCTGCTGTTTGCAAACCAATTTGAAAAAATCTGCACATTGTACTAGAAGCCGAGTCCGTACACTACTCGTACGTGGAGGAACATGAATTGCTGCTTTCTACATAAAGTTTGTAAAAATAATACCTATACAAATAATATTACTTGAAACATTAAGGATCTGCATAATTTTCATTTTTTATTTCTTACTGAGTTAGTTGAAATAAACGCGAAACCTGAATTGTAAGATAAAATGACAAATTGTGGTTTTAATTTGCGGTCCAGTTTATTAAAAATTTAAAATAATATTGATGACCTAATTTTAGTTTTATAAAATGTGTTTGCTGTTTTTCTTCTTCATTGTTGTTGTTGCGGCTTACTTAGCCCTGCCTAGGACGGTTTGTCTCTCAATCGTTGTCACAAATAAGGTGAGGCCCTATTTGAGTGGGGCTTAGAGGGCACGCTGGTCGGGAGATGACTCCGCATGCCGAACACTCATTGGGTACATCTGCATTTATCCTAATCTGGCACGAGTGGGATGCTTAGTTGGGCTATGGTTGTGCAAGTCTCCCGAGGCAGACGAAGTTCTGTGTCGTCCACGTCAGTTGGATGTGTTATCAAAATGATGGTATTAACACGCAGGTCGTTGGTGCAAGTCGAGACCGACTCCCTGCCCAAGCACCCAAATGATGAATCTGTCAAGGCATACGAAACTTACAATTCAACTGCTTTGGACTCCAGAGTACGGTAAATTGAAAGCTGCGATCCAAAAAACGAAGTTGCACAGCTACTGAACTTCGTTGATGTGCTGCGCGTTTATCTTGCACCCACTTAGCATATTTACGTATATCACCCTCCCACCTGGTGCGCAGTAGGAGGTCTATTTAAAGCGCACCGCGATTTTTGACTTAATGTTTGTAACATGAACGTAAGAAATTTTTATTTTGCACCGGGAACTATGATGTCTATATCAGGATTACGGCTAGTTAGACCAACCTAACAATAGCCAGCGTAGATCTGATATATAGTATGCCGTGCCTCGACTCGACCTCAATATCCCTAATGAGTGTCCGGCATCGGGAGACTTCCCACATGACACCAACCACCTTGCTATATGCCACTTCAATCCCGCTCACCTAACACTCCTCTCCCTCTGGCCCGAACCCGTGGAAACAGCCCGTGTCTTGAGCCTAAGTTAACCTTCCAGTCCGGACGAAGCCCGGAGACAGTGCAAGTTTCATTCGATGATCGACCCTCATCGCACCTGTAGCCATTAGGTCACTCTGCAACCTTCGGTAGATAAGGCTTACACTACCTCATAGAATCTTTGCGCCTCTTGCTTTCACCAGCGGTGAAATTCTGGTGACCATCGGGAGGGCAGAAGCCTCCAAACCCATTAGACACGACGGAAGATGTATGGTGATGCTAATTGTGTTAGTGAATACACTTGAAACTTTACTGCTCATGTACTTAGCGAGCAAGATGGCTTCCGTTAAGTTCATAGTACTACCAAGCACTTAACGCCATAAACACTCAGGCACACAGCCCCTTTGGGAGAACTGTCCAAGTTGCGCCAAAGCCCTGCGACATCAGTACTAAAAGGATGGATGCCCAATTATCTAAGTGCTCTGAGTTCTCGATAGTCGTCAGCCAAGGAAAGTTAAAACCGATGATCCCATTTGGTGCCGTTTAACTTCTAGTGGGCAGTGTACAACTTCTACATATATCGTTTAACTTTAACATCTCGAAGCTTCCTCAACAATCAGAAGAAGTTTCACTATTTTTGTTGTTGTTGTAGCGGCTACTAAACCGCGCTCGGGTCGGCTTGTCCATCACCGTTGTCGTCAGGCTCAGCTAAGGGCTGGCCTAGGAAGTGTGCAACATCCACCGGGTTTGTCCGTAGGGACAAGGCCGTTAGCTGGGTGGGGTTTCCACGTTCACTCTGCTAGAGCTAAGTTGGGCTATTGTCGTGCGAGTCTCTCGAGGCAGACAAAGCTGTCTCGTCCACATCGGGTAATTGTGTGCCCAAACCGGCATTCACAGGTCGAGAGTCTATATAACTCAAGGTCGACTCCCTTGTCTTTGCCCCAGGCGCTGTCGGCTGGCGACTTGAGGACCCTGTCGCGGCTCTGTACTCGATTGACAATTACGATTGTATGCGCTGAGAAGGAGAGTTCACAGTCGAGGACTTTCGGGCTATCCGCCGTAGGAATTGGTTCGCCACCGGCATGAGTACCCAGCTGCAGTCCGACTGCCTTTGTCCACGTGGTAAAAAGAGTCGCCGTAGATTTCGTAGAGAAGTTGTGAGAGGCAGCAGTTTACTTTCGAGCACAAGTCATCAATTCCATTCCTAAACGTCATTATCGAGCAATCGTCGGCATAAGAGACAATCTAGACTCATTCTGGTGGTTGAGGGAGCTGCGATATAAAAATTATAAAAATTAAACAGCACCCACCCTATGGTCCCCCGCTTAATTTTCCTCGATTTGCTGATTTGGTCTCTGAAAAGGACTGACGAATGTCGACCACTCAGATGATTCCCCGACCACCGTTTGAGTCCCTGTGGAGAGAGGAAGCCTCAATGTCTTCTAGTATAGTGGAGTGGTTGATGATATCAAACGCCTTTGCTCTCTCACAGGGCGGTTTCGGTTAAGTCCGCGAGTTATCTGGGTGTTTATGGGTTGGCGTTATGTGCTGTTGTGCTGTACACTTTACGGATCCCATGCTGATGCCTCGCCTGGGTCAGATGGTTTGTGTAGTTCGGGAGTAGCACGGCCCCAAGGAAGTTTCGCTGATGTCCATTAATTCAGACGCTTGCTTGTTGTGTTTGACATCTTGCTCTCGTCCTTAAATTGCTTGCCAGCAGCACTTGAGGGTAAGGCAAAGAAACATTGTTGACAGCAGTTGGACCTGCTACAAAGTGCTGGTCTAAATTAAGCTACTCTCATTTAGTCACCGGGAACTAGTAGAACGCAGAACTGTAAATCACCGGATTCCGGCCGGAATGCCTTTTTATGTCGTCCGAAAACCATCTACAGACATAGTATGTTATGCTCGGCAAGTAATCTTTGATCGGATGCTATTGTAGGGAACACTCGGAATATAAACTTGCTGGAAGCAGAGCCACATCAGACGGCATGGCGGCATCGAACTCACAAAGAAGATCAATACCTATTTCGCCTAAGCACTAGACCCGACGTTGTGTAAACAGCTTGTTGATCACTTGTTGTTACTTAGAAACAATCGTTAACTTGACCAATCGCGGAATAGATTCAGCTACCTCTGACGTAAGTAAACTATCGACCCCGATACCCAATATATGTTCCACCAGTCCACACCACACCAACCACGGCTTTACCTATAACAACAACAGACCACCAGAATTACGAGTAGTTAGAGCGGTTCACCTGCCAAGTCCTTGATCGCCTTAACACGGACCTGAACTTGGCTGTGGGTAAAACAAAATATGCAAACACAGCAGGTGGCAAGAGCACTTGAAGTTGTTTAACCCAACGTACCATGGTGACCGTGTGTAAATTGAGCAATAAAGAGTTGTGTTGATCTGCTTATGGGATTTCGATAGTTGTCCGAACTTTCTGTTTTCAGTTTCGGAAAAAAGGGATTATGGTTAGAGGATCCGTCAAATTTTGTTTTCGTTATGTTTTATATCCAAATTAAGATCGTTGGACTACTCCTGAGACTTATTTATTGCTATCCATCAAACTACATGGTGGTCTTGAAATCGAAAAAAGCGAGAAACCAAATTGTTCTTATTGTAAAACGTAAAGCGCGCTTCCAGTGCTTTAGACGTGCGTCCGATCCGAGGACCAAATATCAACTCAAACACTATTGCAGCCAAGATACTCACGCGCCTTTTTGTAGCAAAAACTGTGCGTCCAGCAGCACAACGAAAGCTCAACGTTTAACAGACTGGCAACGTCTACGCCCCTCGAAACTCCAGCTGCTCTCAGAGCACTGAGGGATCGGTATATGGAGCTGAAGAAGGAAGCAAGACGTATTTGCCGTAACAAGAAGTGAGAGGCCAAAAACATGAGAGCGATGAGCGAGAGGAAAATCTCCCGAAATTTCATCAGAAATTTAGGCAACTTGCCGAAGGTTTCAGTACCAGATTTCTCACCCTATTGAATGGCAACAACGCACCACCCCCCCGGCTATGACGAGGACAGATTAGGGACTATGCGGCTAAAAAACAACAAAGTTGCTGCAGCTGACGGCCTGCCAGGTGAGCTATTCAAGTGCCGTGGCAAAAAGCCGATAAGGTGAATGCATCAACTCTTATGCCAAATATGAACGCATGCCGGATGACTGGAATTAAGTGTGCTCTGCCTGATCTATGTACAATCCACTGTGGTATCAGTCTTCTTAATATGGCGTCTATGGTATTATCGCGCGTATTGTGTGAAAGGCTAAAGGTCACCGGCCACAAACATATTTGGGCCTTATCAGTGTGGCCTTAGACCTGGTAAATCCGGCTTGGACCAGGTATTCGCCATGTACCAAATGGTTTGAAAATCGCGAGAAGACGATCGTCACACCATCCACTTTATTTGTCGACTTAAAAGGTGAAAAAAGCGGCGACTCTCCTTCGTGTGGTTTCCTTAATCTGATGTTTGAGAAGGTAAAATATTGTACAAGAGTGTACAATTGCCGTCGTATGTTGATGAGATCGACATCATCGGCCTTTTGCAAATTGGATAATGAAACCGAAGGGGTCTGGTGGTGAACGAGGATAAGAGAATTATCTCCTGTCATCAAACAGTGTGTAGCGCATTCGCTTCTCGGCACTCATGTGACTATTTAAAGTTAGAATGGCGAGAATGTAGAGAAGTTCGTTTACTTGGGAACCAGCACTTACACCGATAATAATGTCAGCCTTGA